GATGGCAGCCGCCCAACGCTCCGGAAAAACACATGCCCAACACGCACGCGCATAACAAATGACATGCGCCAACGCACGACACAACGGCGGAGAAGCGCACGCCGAAAGGATGCGGCCCTCCACAGCGGTCGCAGCCCACCGCGCGCATCACACCCGCAGGAAGAGTGACTCGCGGTGCGCGCTCCCTCTCTCCTCCTTCCCTTCATGCCCACGGAGGAAGCAGCAGCCACCCGCAACTGCCAGCACACGCTACAAAAGAAGCATCCAAATCGAATGAAATCTGCATTTTGTGCGTGCATGTGGTTGTGTGTGTGCCTGCGGACGCACGAAGCAAAAAAGTAAAAACAGGAGCAGAGCATGTGAAGGGACGCACAAACAAAAATGTACAGCAGAAGTGCATGGCAGAAATAAAGAAAAAGACTGCTCAAGCTCATGATACTGCACTGCAGAAAAAGCAGCGGCCGTTCATTAAAAAATTAAATGAAAATAAATAAATAAAAATCATCCTCACCTTTCCACACCTCACACTTTGAAAAGAAAAAAAGAAAAAAAAATGAAAAAAAGAAAAAGAAAAACCACACAAAAAAATCACCTAACTACCATCTTACTCCAGAAATTGTCTGCATATTTTGCCCGCAAATAAAATTAAAAGATATTTAAATGCCTTTCAACCGTCCGACCCTCCATGTGCCCGCACATCGTTTATATTTCACGGGGTCATCTGCGTGTTGCTGCTCCCCTCAGCCCTCTCATCGGCGCGTGAGTGCGGCCCGCAGAGCACAGTCACTCGTGTGTGTGGGGACTGAGAGAAGCACGCAGACATGACGGGAGTCGCGTCACTCCATCGGGAGAGTGAGCGCAGCAAAAAAGCAAAAAACCTTAAAAACACGGCGGCAGGGTGTGGCTGTGTGTGTGGCGCTGCGGGTGTCTGCCAGCCCTGGCCGCAAAGCAAACAAAACAAGAGGGAAGAAATGTGTGCGCCGCCCCACAGGCCCTCGTCGCACGCCCACACGTCACGGCTCCCTCAGCGCGCCGTTCGTCGCGGCCCCTCCTCATGCGTGCAGCAGGCGAGGCGCACAGGGCCGTCGTCGTGAGCGTGTCGGTGGGTGTGCGAGTGGAGCAGTTGGGCGGAAACACACGGCACCCCTCACAGGAAGAGTGCAGCAACAAACAATTAAAGAGTGAAGAGTAGAAAAGAAGAAAAAAAAGTCCACAGTGATTGCCCCCAAAAGCAAAAAAAGAGGGGATGGGAGATTAGAAAAAAAAGTAAAAAAAAAAAAAAGTGAAATCAACCAAAAAGAAGCAAACAGTAAAATAAATTTAAAATACGCAAAAAAAAAGATTTATGAGTGAAATTTGTTCCCATGGGGAAGTAATTCGGTGCTGAGGTGTTCCACGCCGAGACCACACACTCCTCAAGAAGCGGCAACCCCCCACAGTCCCAACAGAAGGAGCAGCGGCAGAAGTCCGCCTCCGCAAACAGCGCTGCCATCACCATTTGCCCCAAAGTGGCGAGCGGTACCGACACCCGTTGCTCCTGCCGCCACTGTTTTCAGATCTGTCAGCTTTGGAATAGAAATTTTGTTTGCGTTGAGGACGCGGATCTCATTGTCATCCAACGGGCAGTTGTACAGCAGGACATTCGTCGCGGTCACAGGCACGTCTTCCTTGCTCCCTGCGCTGCCTCCATTCCCTCCAATGTAGAAGTGGGAGATTCCTTTCGAATCCGTGTTGTTCAATTCACATGACGCATCTCCCACACGCTGACCATCAACGTACGCGGAGCCCTGGGTGCCGTTCCGTAGCACAATAGCCACCTGGTGTGTAGTCTCTGGCTCCCAATTACTGCGGAGCTCCTTGGTCGTTTTGCCACCGCACAGCACCTGCCACTTCCCCTCTTTGTCGTGCGACAGTCCCAGGAGCACAGTCTTCTTGTTGTCATTCATCGTCGCACCCATCAATGGAATGGGGGTATCTCCCTTCGGCAGATTGTGGATGGACACCGTCGCCACAAGAGTGAAGTTGTGGTTCGCAAAGTGGTACAGCTGATTCTCCCCTTGCTTGCCAACGGGCCACTCCGCCCACGCTCCCCGGAACGTCACTCCATCCGCATACCCTGTTGCCACCCCATTCGTTCCTTTCCTTACTGTGGCGTTCACCCCGAGGTACTCGTCCCTCCATGTGTTACCAGAGAAGTTGCCGGACAAAAAGCCAACCAGCCCAGCCGTGGTCTTACCATCGCTGCAGGCACTGCCAGTTGAGGGATTCTTCGGAGCAGTTGAAGGGCACAGCTTGGAGACACGACCGTCCACCTTCTTCCAGGTCGCCAGCACATCCTTCACCCGCTGCAGCTGCGCAGTCAGAAGCACAGAGACCATGCCGAGTGATGATTCCCCATCGCCCTTCTTCTTCTCGTAAAGTGAAAACAACCTCTCATTAGTATTATTTCCACTTCCAGCACTTTTGTACAACAGGGAGCTGGCGGTCACGTCTTCGTCCTTCCCGGACACCGACCCAATATCAACAATGTGCGTATTGTCCGTCAGCCAAAGATGGAGTACGCCCTTTCCATTGCCTTCCTCCTTTGAATACACCGGCAGAGTGACGAGCATCACGTCCCTGTTCTCAATCGTCGCTGTGCTGAAACCGCTTCCAATGCCCTTCACATTTCCCTCGTGTTTGTTGAACCACACGTGGGAGAGTGTCCCGAGGGCCTCCGTCCACGACTCCCCCTTGTCACCGGACTCGTACACCCTGCGGCGGCCGCCATCACACGCAGTCATCATCATGAGTTTGTCCTCCCACTCCACAACGGAGGGATCACTGCAGCCATCGGCAGACATCTCCTTCGACAGCTTCCCACTCGCATTGTCTGAGGAGTATATGATCAGCGAAACGGCCTTTCCATCCTTCGTCCCTTCCATTGGGAACACAAACGTACCGTCCTTCGTCTGAACACCCGATCCACCGCCGCCAATCAGCCGCTTCAAGGAGTTGTGTTGGTTTTCAAACTCAGTCCACGGGATAACGGAAGCGTCTTTCCAATAAATTTTTTTTTTACCGCTGCTCCCATCATTACTGACGTTTCCCACAGCCACCAAAAGTTCCCATTTAACTGCTGCAGCTGTGCTACCAGCTGCCCTATCAGTAACTTCAAAACTGTAGGTTCCAGCAAACATGTAAATAATATTTCCACTCACAACGGTTGTTGGTCGGCTCACACGTACTTTTTTCCGGTTTTGGGAAGCATTCTGATCTTCTGCTTGGGAGGCACAACTCTTATTTTCGGCAGGACATTCCTCCAGTACTTGCGTCGTTACTGCAGTTTTAACCAATTCTTTTGATTCCTGATCAGTTAACGTCAAGAGCTCCGAGGCAATCCCAGTAAAACCGCTGTTACTGCCTTCCGTGAACTCCGCCTCGGCAACGGCAAACACATTACCATTCACCTAAACAAGACTGGGAACACGCAAAGAACTCACTGTTTCTCCTTCTTTTTTATCTCTCCAATCAAAATATTTCTCCGGTGAAGATCCCTCAACTGACGTTGGCTCAACACCTTGCGCAGCTCCACCACTGCCACAGCACAACATCACGATGAGGAGGAACAGTACCGCGGAAGCAAACACACGCCGGGACATGTTGGGCCTCCGCGGCTCACTCTCTCCTCCTTTCCTCCTCCTTCCGCTGGATCCGGTCACGCAGCGACGGTTGTGTGTGCGGGGTGCCGTCACTGCAGCAACACGTGAGAGCATATAAATACGTGTGTGTGGGCGGTGTGTGTGTTGTTGGTCCTTTCAGAGCCTTCGAATTTCACAGTAGCGATTAGCGCTTGTTTGCTTTCTTCTTAAGAGAGTGAAAGAAATGAATAAAACATGTTAATAAAAAGAGGATAAAACAGTGAACACCGCCACCCATCCACTGTGAGTGGCACCATCATCCCCGCCGCAGTCACCCCCAACAACAACAACTCACGCACACAGACACACGGAACGAGAAGGAAGAACAGTGCGCCGGGAACACACAGCGACTGCCACCACCACCAGCAGCAGGAGTCACGGCGGGTGTGTCGTTATTCACGCGTCATCACACCGAGCGACGCACAGAAAAACAAACAACCAGCGAGATACAAAAGAGCACAACGCCCTTCGCAGCACCGACTCGTTTCCATCAGTCATTTTATTGCTGTCTCCTCCAGTACACCTGCTCCTCAACCGCCATAACCGCACATCACCCCAGACAGCCGGAGAATCCCCCGCAGGCGTATGAACAGCTGGAGAAACACGTTGGCACGCAAAGCTGCTCGCCGCAAATCAATACACACTCATCCCGTAAACCGTCAATGCCACGCCACTCATCGACAGTAAAAAAGAAAAACACGCTCGCAGCACGGCAACAAGACAAACAACAGGCTCCCGTCATACCTCCTCAAAAGGGCTACCACAGCCAAAATCGTGTGGAAAATGGCATGTGCTTGTGATTGTGTGATTGTCAATGCCTATACATGCAGAGCAGCTGTGCGGCCCAAGAAAGTCCAAAGAAAGCAACGGCAGAGAGAGGCAGATAGCACACACGCAAATTACTCATCACACACACACACACGCAGCCGCAGAATGGGTGCACTCAACCACAAAACAATAAAAAACAATAAAAAAGCCGAAGCGTGGGACGACCGGCGCACACAGACTCTCATTGCTCCCGTAAAGCAAAACACACACACACAGGGAGAGAGAGAGAGGTCGACCACTCAATGCAATGGAAACAAAACAGAAACAGTTACGGTGCTCCGCCCATGCAGCCAGGCAGGACGGCAGCGGTGCGTGTCGTGCAAAAGAGAGCACCAACGGGCCTGCATGGGTGTGCATGCATATATACAATGGGCACATTATGTGTGTGCCTCGTGGGGTGAGGTGAGGGCGAGAGTCCATGCAAGGGGACACACACAGAGAGAGAAGGAAGAGTGTGTGTGCGGGCGGTGCACGGCTCTCTCTCCCTCACTCTCACGCGGCCACCACCGCAGCCGCAGCCGCACACGCAACAAGAAGAGGCAAAAGAGGGGAGGTGGTGTGGGAGACCGCGGTGCTGCCGTCACTGTTTTGTTTATTCGTCGTATCTGTTGTGTTGGCGGTTACTGTCGTTGCCTTTGTATCTTCCCCAGTCCCTTCTGAGCCTTCGTCTCGGTGGCTTTGTGGTGTGGCTGTGGTCTCAGGCGGTGGAATATTTTTTTCGCCTACACTCGTGGTGTCTTTGCCATCCTGCTTGCGGGAATCAACACCGTCTTCTGGAGGTGGTGGAGGAGTTACTCCCGCAATGTCCCCAGGCAGTGTGTTCTCTCCATTAACTGTTGTGAGTGGATTCTCTACTGCAGGTGGATTTTTGCCGGAGTCCTTCTTTTCTTCAACTTCTGTTTGCGTAGAATTGGCATTTGATAACTGACTGCCGGAAGGTGGAATGCTCCCTGCAGGTACATTTGCCCGGCCTGTTTCCTGCCCGCTGTCACTTAAATTCCTTTCCCCGGAACCTGGGTCTGGTAGAGCTGTTCCTCCTTTATTACTCTGCCCTTCTATACTTTCTCCTTCAGCCTCCGTCTCTTCATCATCATCATCGTCGTCATCATCTTCATCATCATCGTCTTTATCTTCCCCTGTAGGTTTCGAAGATGGGGGTGATGCTGTCTCTATAACACCTGGTGCTCCATCTTTTAATTCTTGGGTTTCTTTTCGAGGCGTTCCAGGTTCTGCTGATCCCGGCGGAGGTCCACCATCACTCCCAAGAGCTGCCCTCTCCTCCTCGTCACATCTACCGCCGGCACCGCACAACAGCACGCAGAGGGCACACACCAGCAGCACACGGCCAGCCATCATCATCGCCATCACTCCTGTCACTTGCGTGTAGCCTTCAGCACAAACTAACGCCCCGTCAACGCAGAGTAAAAGCAAAAGAAAAGACAATTCACACAGCCACGCACCGTCCCATCCAGCAATGAGAGTCACGCACCACAACAACAATTAGGTGAGCGCAGTTAACAATAATAAAAACAAAACAAAAAGGAATGCTTCCTGCCCCGTTCCTCACACCCCCACAGTTACTATTACTGTTATTCCCTCTCCTCAGTCCCTCACAGGCACGCCACGCTCATCTCAACACACGCCCCTCCCAGCACAGGCAGTCCTTGATGCCCTCCCGCTGAGCCGCAATGTTCGCCACCACCTCCCTCAGTCGAACAGCTCCGTGTCCTCCACGTCCCTCATAATCGCCGGCATGCCCCGGCCACACAACACACACAGCGCCACAATGTCGTGCCGCCTCTCCTCCACAATCATGAGCGCAACACCCAACGCGTACTGGCACACGTGCTCCATGCGCCGCAACCACCCGCAGATCAGCCTCGCCGTCATGCACTGCATCTTGTTGTCTTTCTTGTGCTTGGAGCAGACCCTCACACCTCTCGATCCACGGCCAGGGTGCTGCGAAAGGCTGCCGAGAGGTGCCACTTTTGTGGAAGAAGCAAATGTGTGGGAACAACGGCCACCCTCACTCCCTCACACATATCCACTCCCTCTACGCCCACACAAAAGGGCGGTGTCATGGGGAAGGGAAGCCCGTCGCACAGTGCATGCACAAGGGCACAAACAAAAGCAACGCCATCCATGTCGCAATGCAACAAAGAGCCTTGCGCACCGCACACACACGGCCGCAACGAAAGAGACGGGCGGATACAAGTCCACGACGCTGTTCTTTACTTCTCACTTCCCCGACGGATTGGCATTGCGTCCCACACTCACAGTGAGGCACGGCGCACACCATCCGCTCCCTTCCTTGTGCATTCAGCAGGCCGGCGCTCAGTCACCCCAGTGCCATCGCAATGGGGAGCACAAACAATCGTCGTCCCGGACCATCGGTGCCACTAGCAGGAAAGGAGAAGTGGGGGCATGTCAACAGCACAGCCAGCAGATGGACACTCAATAAGACGCTGTGAAAGGCAGTGACAGTGGACACAGAACAAACGGAAACAAGCCACAGATATTTACGAAAAAAAAAAAATTGTGTGTCCAGCAGAACTCACAGAATAAAAAACTTCTCCAGCCAGGACTTTTCTTTCATGTACCCAGAAGCACAAGACGACCGGGTGCATACATTCTGCCCGCAGAAAAAATGGAAATTAAAAAAAAGATCTTGCGGGACAGCACACAACATCCTTCACCACTTCATTGCGGCACCCGGCCTGTTCCTCCGCTCCTCCTTTCGTGCAGTCCGTGGGACGCACAGCAATGAGGCCGGCACCGCGTGTGGCCAACAAAAAACAAGGAGGAGAAAAGCGTCACTCATGACAAAGTACTGCAAAAAAGCGTTGGGGGAAAACACAGGGATGCTGATTATTCCAATAGGGCAAAAGCAACAAAAATAAATAAATAAAAGAAAATTAAAAAGCTTAAATTATTGACAAAACTCAGTGGGTAATGCTGGCAAGCTGCACAGTTATTGCTCCACAAAAAGCCGCAGTTCCACCCTCCCTCACACCTCAGCAGAGCGCCGCAGTGCCTCAGAGCCCCAGTAGCAGAAGCAACAACACCTGAGACACACGCCCATGCACGGCGATTTCACGAATTTCAGCCATGGCCAACAAATCCTTGAAATGCCCGAGCTCACAAAAAAAGTTGCTCACAAGTGATGCCGCGTCGTACTCCGATGGGATCTCTGGTTTCCCAGACGTTGTGCGCAAATAATCCTGTGCGGCATCACCGCCACCCGACACGTTACCACTCGTTCAACATTTGCTAGGGCTGTGCCGGGCCCAGGCGTAGCTGTTGTACCATCCAAGGGCATTAGATCACTGTTGCTGGGTGAATCGGGGCCGCTGTCCGTGCCCACGGCAGTGCGGGCATACGTGTCCTATTAGTGCTCAACGTCTTGTTATTCGCTGGCAACTGTGTTGGCGGTGGGCGGCTCGTCTTCTCTCGCTCAGCGTGCGTCTGGATCCGCTGCGCTGCCACTTTCCTCCCCGGACAGCGGAGCTCCCTGTGGGGCCTCACCGCGCAGCCGCTGGCAGCCTCGCATGCTCCTGCCGAGCGGAGTGTCCTGTCACTGAGCATGGCCACAGACAGTTCCCAGTTACTCGCCTGGCGGCAGCATCCCGATCGCCCACGCGAGTTCCTGTCGCCACAGACTCCCTCTCGGCGATGGAGGCGCTCCGCCTTGGCTCGCTGGCGGCGCACGACGACGTCGCCGAAGAGATTTGCATGATGCCGCATTCACTGGTTGATCGAGGTCGCGCTGTTGACTCCACATTTCCCCATGGCACTGCGGAATCCCACGCAACGTGACGGCGGACGCTGATGCCATCATGGCGCGATCTCTCCCGCAGGACTGCGTCAATGCCTGGCACGTGGGCTTCCTCACCGCAGTCAGGCGACGGAGCCAAAAGGAAGTGCAGGAGGAAAAGGAAGGCGCACACCGCATGACAGGCGCTCGTCGGTGTGGCGAGGACTCTGCTCCTGGTGTTGACCCGGACATCGTGCCCGAGTGGCGGCACTGCGCGATGCGACTCCTGCCCGCTCTTCGACAGGCCTGCACGCGCCCTGCGGATCACAAGGGACCCTCTGTGTCGGTGGTGCCGTCCCTTTCTTCACTGCGGTGACCGGCCCGCCTCCGCCTCCGCCGGAACCTCTTCCAGACGTGAGCGCCGCAACTCCTTGTCGACCAGCGAGCGGCGGATTGACGTCCTCCTGCCCAATCTGCGGCGGAGGGCGCTTTTCCGTCCACAGTATGACGGCACATGCCCGACGTGCGCCGTCTGGCGTTCTGATGGTCAGCGAGGGCCTCACATGCGGGTGCCGCGATTGTTTCATCGTTTTCTTAACAGGCGCCTCGCGCGCCGGTCGCCACTGAAGGAACCAAGCATGCCAGCAGGCAAGGCACGCAGAAAGCACAAACGCGGACACTCGAGATGGACCAGGCTCTTCCGCCACCGCCTCGTCACAGATGCCACGTGCTGCTGATCCCCCGACGGGCCACGGGAATCTCCGCTTCATCCACTTTGGTAATGCCGCGTCGTTGAGAATATGGACTGTGACTGTTTGGGACTGCTCCAGCCTGCACGACGGCCCGCATGCAACTGAATGCTTACCACGTTATTGCTGACGGCCTTCGCGCCACTCACAGGTAGCCGGCACAACAGGCAACGAAGACCAAACATTATCTAAGCTGTTTACATGATGAATGTTGGCTGGACTTCCCGTGGACCAACAATCCACGTGGTGTGCGGGGATCTTTCCTTTTTATTGTTACTTTGCTTTTGTGTTGCTGTGTGCGCTGCACCTCCTCTTGTGTGTGCGTACCCTCCGTGAGGGGTGCCGACACGACGGACCGCTCTCGCCGTATGTGCATGCGGTGGAGTCTTGTGTGCCGCTCCTGTTTGCTTCTACCTCTTCCATCTGTGTGTTGTTGTTGCGGCAGGGCTGTGTGTGTGCGTGCTGCCGTGGATTGGAGTGTGTGTCGTGCGTGGTGTGCGGCGTACGGTGCATGCCTGGCTGCTGCCCTCTCCTCATGTGGTGTGCCCTCTGTGTGTGTCTGCCGCACCTCTCGTCTCCCCTGTTGCTCTCCATGTCCCTCACTGTGCAGATCAGCTCCACACCACTGAACGACCACACTCACGGTGATGACGACGTGCCGTCTGCTGTGCGCCCTGTTGGTGCTTGTCCTGTGCTGCTGCCCGTCCGTGTGCGCGACAGTTGTTAATCAAGAGAAAGATGTTTAAACGGAACAAGATCTCGATTTGGAGCATAATCAGACGGGGGAACCAAAGCAGTTAACGGATCAGCACAGTACATCTTCTTCTTCGCCACAGGAAAGAGAAAAGGGGGAAGGGACGGGACACGCACGAAATGCAGCGAAGCATACGTTAGAGACAACTGTTGCTGTAACAGAAACGACAGGGTCACAAAGTAATCCCAAAAATGCACAAGATGATGGGCAATCCAATAAGGAACGGACATAAAATACGAAGACCGTTACGGTAAACGAAAAAAAATGAGAAAAAGTGTGCACCAAATACGACCACGACGACAACCACAACGGCACCAACCACGACGACCGCTGCGCCAGAGGCACCAAGTACTACGACTACAAAGCCGCCAACCACGACGACCACCCGCGCACCGTCACGTCTTTGCGAAAGCGACGGCAGCCTCAGCAGCTCTGCGTGGGTGTGTGCCCCGCTGCTGCTCGCCGTATTCGCGCTGGCGTACACCACTCTGGGCTGAAGAGGTGTGTGCGGGCTGTGCGTGCCAGGAGTCAGCCACGGGGATTCGTGCACGTCTACTGTGGTCCGATGTATAAAGTATGAGTAATTATGATGATTGTGTTTTGCTTCATTTGCTTCCGCTGCCCTGCTGTGTGCTCTGCGTTGTTGATCCCTTTATCCGTCACGTTGAACGCATCCCAAACATACTCATATGCAAAACACGCACACGACTGTTTGCGTGGACGCATTTTCTTTGTGCTGGTGCATGCACACTGAAGCAATTCGGTGCAGCTGTTTGTTTTTGTGTTTTTTCTTTCCTTAATTTTTTGTTTTGTTTCTTTACTCGTGTTTTGATTTTAATTCTTTTTTTTTTTGCTGCTTACTTTCTGAGGGGCTGTTTTTGAGCGTTTTCTTTTCAACGGATTCCATATTCTTCATTGTGCGTCCTCTGCTGGGCTGCTGTCATTTGTGATGCTGCGTGATGTGTCTCTTCTTTTGTTTTCACTCTGCGTTGACGGGGAGTTATTGTTTGCTGAAGGCTACACGCAACTGACAGGAGTGATGACGATGATGACTGGCCGTGTGCTGCTGGTGTGTGCTCTCTGCGTGCTGTGGTGCGGTGCCGGCGGTAGGTGTGACGAGGAGGAGAAGGCAGTTCCTGCCGGTGATGGTGGACCTCCGCTGAGATCAGCAGAACTTGAAACGTCTCGACAAGACACCC